AAAAAAAAAACCCGGGGGGAAGGGAGGTTTTTCCAGGAGGGGCCCCGGGGTCCGGGGGGGGGCTCCCAAAAAAAGGAAGGGGGGGGGGGGGCCGGGGGGGGGGGGGAGGGGGGGGGGGGTACTCATGTTTTTGCATGGCTTGGTTATGAGACCATTGCCCTTGCATTGCCGGGACGGGGCGATATGCCGGTTTTTCTCTGGCCCAGGCTACGTTTCACAAAGGACGGAGTCAGAAGCTGGTCATCATGCTTGCGTTTGCTGTGCCGAACCAGATGACGTGCCATGAGTTTATTGGACATCCTAGCTATCGGGGGGGGTGTACTCATGTTCTGGACGCCTTAGCGGTTAGACCATTGGTCACGCGTCCTCGAGAGGACGGAAGATGGTTCCCACAGGACCGATTACCGATGGCCAATTGTTCTTTCCTACGTTCCCAAAGGCGACGAGGTGAGCGGGGGGCGTGGGGGGGAAGCACGGGCCCCCCAAAACTGAAAATATCAAGACGAAAAATAAGTACGATGCTTTAACAACGTTGAATTAAAGCACGCTTTCTTTTTGTGTTTATTCTCACACCGTGGGAGTTTTCGTCTCCTTCCTCTGCTGTTTGTTTGTTTATGCGTCTGTGTTTTCGTTTTTTTGTGGTCATCAGGTGAACCCGGTGCTTAACGGCGCGCCCGCATCGATCATGCCCAACGACTTCCTACCGGGATTCAACGCGGACAACAAGAACGAGTGGGTAACGGTGGTGATGCTCTCGCACGTCTACGCACTCAAGGTGCGTGATTTGTTACATGTTGGCGCCGCTACTGTTGGTGTTGGCGTAAGGTTGGGTTTTGGCGTCACGGTGGTATTATAGTGTATTTTTGTTGTGCTCGTTCTTTCTGGGTGTTTTGTGTTGTCGCCCCTCGCTTTGGTTTCCGTTTACGCCCTCAAGGTTATCATGTTGTCGCTGCTACTGTTAGTGTTGCCGTAGGGCTCGGTTGTTGTGTCTGGGGGTGTTTCGTGCGTTATCGCCGCCGCTCGCTGTGGGTTGCGTTACTACTGGGCTGGGCTGTGTGCGATCCACCGTCTGCGAATTCCCATTACCGCCGTCTCTTGAGCAAACTCCGGCCCTTCGCGTATCCGCCCCCGCCACGTTTCGTGCCTGCTTTTTTCGTGGCACAGGGTGTGCTGACCGCCATCCAGGCCGCCGACCTGATCGTCCACCGGTACGGGATGAAGAGGTTCAGGCTCATGATCTACGGGTCCACGACCCACGACGTGGTGTACTGCAGGCGTTGCCAGGACGCCATCGAGCGCCTCAAGCTCACCGAGAACGTCTGGCTCAAGGGGAAGGGGAGGCCCGCGGCGGTAAGCAGACGGGGGAGGGGGGAGGGTACTCATGTAAACGCATCCCTTAGGCGGTAGGCCGTAGACATCCCTACAATACCGGGACGGAGCGGGTTTTCGCCGGCCCAGGCTATCACATCACAAGGATGAGCCAGAAGGGGGCCATCATCCTGGGTTTGCTGGGAGGCAGAGGGGGGAGGGGGGTGGGGGGGTCAACAAACACAGCTCTGGCCCACGGAGACATGTCCTTAACCCTACAACCCTACTCCTATCCCTTTCCCTTAGGTTTTGGCCCAGGGAGACATGTTCCTGAACTCTTCCGTCAGCGAGGGTCTCCCTCTCGCCATCATCGAGGCCAGCCGCGCAGGGCTGGTGGTGGTAGCCACGGACGTTGGAGGTAAACCAAGTGCACTACTTTGCCACCGCGGTCGCAGCGTTCGACGATCGGCAGATATACGCAGAACATGGTCGTTGTGGCGAAGGAATATTTGGTTCACTGCGGATATAACGCGAAGAGCCCTAATTGCCGTCGTCTCTGCAGTGAGAACCAAGTGCTTTGCTACAAAATGGACGTTCAAATACAGCCGACACCAGCAGGATGGGGGCGGGGGGGGAGGGGGGCAGCGATTCTACATCACGGCCCCTCCTCTACGCGCTGAATGGCGGCCACATTTGTGTGTGCTTGTCGGTTCGTCGACCGCCAACCTTACGACCCTTACCCGTAAACCTTAACCCAATTGACCAAACCTGAAAACCCCGGACTTAGGAACCACAAGAACCCGCGACGATCATCGGTGAGTTCGGCTAAATTTGCATGCCCAACAGCCCCCTTCCCCTCGCCCAGGCGATGCTTGAAACCCTCGCTGCATGCAAGAGGTGGTGCTAACCCTAACCCTAACCTATTAAACCCCGACCTTATCTTGACAGGGACCCGCGATGTCGTCGGTGAGTTCGGCGGCATCTGCATGCCCAACAGCCCCCTTCCCCTCGCCAAGACGATGCTGGAAACCCTGGCGGCCTGCAAGAAGTGGTGCAAGATTGCCGGCGCTCCCGACCTGGACTGGAGAGACATCGACCTGTCCCCCAACCCTTCCCAGGTGCCTTTATTTCCCATTTTTTTATTCCATATTTTTTGTTGTTGCGTATGTCTTTTTATTGCTCCTTTCGCATCCACTTCCATTTTCTTTCCGGTCACTTTTTGTATTATTCTGCCCTCCTATGCTAATACTAGTTCTATACCTCGACTTGGCTCCAGGTCTTGGAGAAGGCGATTTTCAACGAGGACGTCATCAACGCCAGGCACGACTGGGGAACGCGGTACCTCGAGTGGACCAGCAAGGCCTTCACTCTCGACAGGTGCAGGAAACGAAGTGTGCATCATCTTCGCACTTACTCGCGTGACACTTGTCCATGACTGCTGCCCGAGCTGATTTGAGTTGTTGATGCGGGGACCACCCCTCTAGTCGTCCCAGCAACGTCGAGCGATCGTCGTCTACCGAGCAACGTATCCATACGAGGCCGAGGCCTTGACCCTAGCCTCTCGAGGCTGGGACCGACGTACCGAGCATTCATGGGGTCTACTACGTCTGTGACCCCTACACCGTAACGTGCGTGTCTTACTTGTACACTACACACAAATAGGGTTAAAATACAGCCGGTTTCTTATCTTAAAGCTGCGCAGGTATGGTAACAACGTGTGATGACTGCGCCTCAATACTTGTCGTTCGTCGCAACCCAACCCTAACCCGACCCCCGCCCCCCCCCCCGAAGTTTTCATAACCCGACCACGTACACACCCCCTTCCCCGTGTCACAGGTACCGCGACGAGCACGTGCGAGCTCTCTGGTACGCCGACCGGCAGGCCATGGCCAACTGCGCCAGGCTCACCCTCGACTGGGGCGCCGACCCGGGACAGAGGCGTCTCGCGGTGTCGTACCTGCGGCTCCGCCGCCTGCTGGAGGTGTCCGACAGGAAGGAGCACACCAACCTCAGCTTCATCTCCAACTTCAGCGAGGTTCGCGCGAGGTAAGCGGAACGCTGGAAACGGAACACTCTTTTGTCCTCCCAAAACACAAGAGAACAAACTGAACACACAAAAAACAATTAAATAAACACACCACGTAGTAATTCTACGCCTGGAGGTTGCTTACGTGGGTTTTATTTGGAGATGTGCGTAACTTGCGTTCTTGTTTGGCCGCCCTAGAGGCGTGTTGGTTTGGATATTTTGGTTCCGTAAGAGAGTGCGGCCAATCCCCGCCGCGGGCTATGTGTCGTGTGTTATGGAAGTGCAACTTCGTGGCAACATGGGTTTTCTTGGAGTCGCGGATTCGAATGAAGCGGAGGAGCGGTGGGTGGCGCGCCGGATTGATTGATTTTCCTATCCGAGGGGTCGTTGCCCAAACGAGTGTATTGTCAGCTAGCGTGGTGTGGGTGGACGGGTGGCGGGGCGCGTGCACAAGAGGTCCAGCCGCACCATGGGGTTTTGTGTAGTACGGCGTGCTGATGATGGTAATATCCAGCAATTGAGACCCGTTTCCTTCACGTCTGTCATGTCGCATTTGCACATTTTCGCTGTCGCGCTGCCGCGCTTGATGTCTCGTTTTTTTTGTTTTTTTTGGCGGTTCGCTTTTTTTTTTTTTTTTTAGAATCAAGAGCGAGCAGAGGAGCCGGACGCCGATCGAAATCTCGATCGACTCTACCCAGCTGGCTCAGATGTCGTCTTTCCAGTGCGCAACGGCGGAGCTGCCTCTGCTTCAGTGGCTCCACGGCGGCAAGGTGGGTCTTACAATCGTGTTTGTTTTTTTTGTTTCTGGGGACGGGGGTGGTGTACTCTTGTTTTGCATACCTTAGCTGTTAGACCATTGACCACGAGTCCTCGGGCGGACGGAGCATTGTCCCCATAGGACCGATCATCGATCGCCAATCGTTCCTCCCTACCTCATCATCCTATGGACGTCACGTTTTATGGGGGGGGGGGGGGGGGGTTAGAAAGATGCGGGACGATGTATGTTGAGGCTCTAGCAGTTGCGATAACGCTTGTAGTGCGGGCGCTGTGGAGGTGCCACGGATAACTTGTAATTGTTCGTGTCGCCCCTTATCGTTTTCTGCGGCACTCTGCTTGGTGCAAAGCGAACGACTGATGGTAGATCGTTCAACGCCCCGTTCAACACCTTGAGCGAAAGAAAATGACGGGGGCAAAGCAGTTTTGCTCAGCTTGTGTGCACACCCTGCTTTCTCAAGGCAATTCACCCAACGGCGTTTGTTTGCTGTTTGCTGTTGTTCTTATTCTTACAATCGCCTTCGTTGTCGTTGTTGTCCTCGGAGGTGTAGGCGACGTCCTTCGTGTACCACTCACGGTCCTGCATACGTTTCCGCGGTACACTATTTGGGGGTTAGTTGGCTTGTGACCGCGGAAATCGTCCGCATCA